GAGATCACCTTGCTGTTTGTGTTGCATATATGCCTCTGCATGTGAAATGGCCTTGTGGCCCTTTGCTTGTGCTCAGAGTGTGTGGTGACGTTGTGATCTTCCCTGGGCTTGCTTGCCTTTCTTGACTGGTCTTGTGACCCCTTGCTCTCCCCCATTTTGCCTATGGGGGTGTGTCAAACATTTATATATATGTTATTGCTGTGTAGGCTATAGTGGGTTAGCCTTTAGGGGGTACACAACTCTAGGGTTTCATACTTGTACTTTAATGTTTCATAGTTCAACCACTTCTTGTTTCTGACACTTCGTCGCCCCGACAAAGCAAGGTGGTCGACTGGGGCAGCGCGGGCAGTCTGGCGGTGGTGGTAGCAGTGACTCCGACGACGACGACGCCAAGGGAGACCACGGGAGGTCTGGCGGTCGTCGTCCTCGTCGAGGAGGAAACAAGCCTCGCAAGGAGACGCAGTCGATGAAGTCGACCTCGGCGAAGGACGCCGACTCCTCTGCTGGCGGCAAGATGCGAGACGGCAAGGCGGCGCTGTGCTCGCTTGTCGATGTGGTGGAGCCGACCGTCTCGCTTGCACCAGAGGCCGGTGAGGACTTCCAGGCGGTGGCGGCAGCTATGCAGGCGAACCAGTCGATGGTCCTGCTTGACAGCGGCTGCTCACACCACCTGATGGGAATGAAGGAGGTCTTCGTCGACGTGCGGCCGCGCGGCGACATTAAGCACGTGCGCGGCTTCAATGGGGCGCTACAGGACGTCCAGGGCCGCGGCACTGTCGCTCTGCAAGGAAAGGCCGGAAAGCAGATGCTCATCCCCGACGTGCTCTACGTCCCGGGTGTGCAGGCGAACCTACTTTAGGCCGGTCAGCTGAAGGAGAAGGGCGTGAAGTTGCAGGAGGACAGCAACGGAATGTTGCTCGTCTCGGCGGCGGGAGACGTCCTCGGTCGGGCGTCCTATACGGGGCGAGTCCTTTGCACCGACCTGCGCACCTGCTCAACGAGGTCGGCGTGACCAACGACAGAGGTCATGGCCCTAAGGGCGATTGTCTCGGCAACAAAGGCAACGCCGGACTGGCTGCATGCGAGGCTTGCACACGTCGGCATGGACATCATCCGGAGCTCGGCAAAGCACGAGGTCGCTAAGGGGCTGGACCCCAAGTCGGCGTCGGGCGCTGACTCACCGTGTGTCTCGTGCGTCAGCGGGAAGCTGGCGCGGCACACCTTCCCCGACCAAGGCTCCGACGCCGACGACGTGCTGGCCATCGTGCACATCGACTTGTGTGGGCCATTACGCGCGGCTGCAAGGACGGCAGCCTGTACTTCTTGCTGGTGAAGGACCGCAAGACCCGCTACCTGTGGGTGAGGCCGGTTGCCAAGAAGTTGGATGTGCTACTAGAGTTCCAGCAGTGGCTGGTGTTGGTGGAGAGGCGGGCGAAGAAGTCGGTGCTAATACTGCACTCGGAACGAGGAGGGGAGTTCCTCGGGAAGAAGTTCACCGACTCTGTGGATGGCAAGGGGATCGTCCACGACCTGACCTGCCCGTACACCCCGCAGCAGAACAGCATGGCGGAGCGGGAGATGAGGACGGTGGTGGAGTCGGTGCGGACGATGCCGCTGCACATGGGCGTGCAGCACCACTGGTGGCACCTCGCTCTGCGGCGGGCCGTCTGGGTCCGCAACTGCCTTGAGAGGTTGACGCTGCCGCCGGGGACAACGCCGTACCAGCTCCTCACCGGGACGAAGCCCGACTTGTCGATGGCGCGGCGTGGGGCTGCATGGCGCAGTTCTTGGTCCTTGAGCAGCAGCGTGGTGGGAAGCTGAAGCCAAAGGCCAGGTGGGGCCTTCACCTCGGCGTGTCAGAGGAGAGCAAGGGCTGGGAGCTCCTCCACATCGCCGACAACCGGCTGGCCACCACGTCGGACGTGGTATTCTACGAGGATATGTCGCTGGAGGTGTGGAAGTCGGCGCACGGGCCGGTGTCAGGACGGACGCCGGCCTCCCCGCTGACGGACACCTCGACGGCAACGCTCCCCTTGCTCGCCGAGGTTGGTGAGCCTGCTGCCGAGGATGTCGATGATGTCCCCTCTACCTTCCCCTCCCCTGCCCCTCTTACCCCTCCTCTTGTGGCCGACCTGCGTGGGCTGACTTCGGTGTCGGCCTTCGGCGATGAGGGGAGAAGTGGGACGTCGCCTTCGGCGCCAGCCAAGGGCATTGCCGGTGGCCGACGTGATGAGCAGCACGACGACGTGGGAGTGAAGTCGAGGGCGGACCAGGCCGAGGAGGTGCAGCCGACTTTGGTGAAGTCAGCGACGCAAGCACCAGCCCGGCAGCAGCTGACAGGGGCGCAGGCAGCGGTGAAGCCGACCACGGAGCAGTCGGCAACCAGGCAGTCGGCAGGAGAGCCGACCGTAGGGGAGAAGTCGGCTGGGACACCAACAGAGGTGCAGCAGGCCGCTGAGGGCAGCAAAGCCGGTGACGAAAAAGAGGACGCCGAGGAGTCCACCGACAGCGACGTGGTGGAGGTTCAGCCTGGACCTCGGAAGTCAGGCTGAATTCGGAGGCCACCTGACTTCTTCGTCCCCACTGCCTTCACCACGGTGTACGACGTGGATGAAAACGACATGGCGTATGACAACGCAGAGGAAGATGAGGAGTTTCCGGAGCTCGACCCAGACATGCATGCCGACCCCGAGCACCGTTGGGACATCTTGACGATGACGGTGAAGGAGGCGTTGGCGAGCTGGAAGGGCCCGGCGGTGAAGGCCGCCATGGAGGAGGAGATCTGCAGCCTCATCAACATGGGCCCTTGGAAGCTGGTCGAACGTTCGCCGGGGGTGAACATCATCGAGAACCGGTGGGTGCTAACGACGAAGTACCACATCAACGAGACCGTCGAGCACGAGAAGGCAAGGCTGGTCGTGAAGGGCTTCACTCAGGTGTATGGCTCCGACTACGACGAGACGTTTGCGCCGGTGGGCAGCTATGTCATGCTGAGGATCTTCCTCAGCATCGTCGCCGTCCTCAACCTCAACCTGATGCAGCTGGACATGAAAAACGCCTTCCTGCAAAGCAGGCTCGACTGCGTGCTGTACATGTCCCAGCCGGAATGCTTCAACAACGGGACCGGCCGGGTGTGCAAGCTGCTGAAGAGCTTGTACGGGGTGAAGCAGTCGCCACTGCTGAAGTACTTGGCGCTCAGCGACGTGCTGGTTGGCACCGAGTGGAAGAAGAGTCAGGTCGATGAGGCTCTCTACTTCAAGGTTGGCGACAACGGAGTGACCTGCTGGGTGCTGGTCTATGTCGACGACCTTCTCGCCGCCAGCAGTAGTGACGAGATGCTGAAGGAGCTGCTGGAGGCCGCCTTCGAGCTGCGTGAGATCTCGCTGGTGCAGAAGTACCTCGGGCCGGGAGCGGCCTCACGGTGAGGAGCGACTAGCATTGGCGCGAGGTCGACCGCTGCCTCGCCTACCTTGCCAATACGCGTGACAACGCCCTGGAGTTCGGCGGTGGACCAGAGTCACTGGAGCTGGTTGGCTACGTGGATGCCAACGACACCGGTGACAAGCAGACACGGACGAGCACGGGAGGCTACATGTTTGTCTATGGAGGGGCCGCAGTCTCCTGGTCGAGCCAGCGCATCAAGTGCGCGACGCAGTCGTTGATCGAGTCGGAGTACGTGGCGGCCACAGAAGGCGGTAAGGAGGGACGTCGTCTTCGCTTCCTCCTTGCAGAGTTCCGGCAGCTGGATGCCGGGAAGTCGACTGTCCTTCGGGTGGACAACAAGTCGGGCATCACGGTCGCCAAAGGCATGGGGTTGACAGGCAACCTCAAGCACATGGAGCGGCGACAAGCCTGGCTGCAGCACATGGTGAAGCGCGGGAAGTTTTCGTTGAAGTACATCCCAACCGCTGAGTAGCAGGCCGACTTCCTGACGAAGGCGGTGCACTATCCGGCCTTCAACCGGTGCTCCGTTGCCATTGGCCAAGTGCGCTTGGCCGACGTGGGCGACGGCGACGACAATGTGCAGCAGTGGGTGCCAAGCCCTCTTGCATGGCTGCTGCGGTGGACAACGTGCTATGTGTTGGGTGCACGTCGACGAGATTTTCTCCGAGAAGTACTGCCGTGTGGGCTGGGGGCCCAAGCATGAACGCGGCACGGGAGTGTCAATGGGAGTTGTGTGTTGGCCCTATCCTTGCTTGGGCGGAGCCGACTTCGTGGTCGGGTGTGAGTGGAGCAGCCGACCTGCAACACTGGGCGAGCTGGTTTATTAGGAGGTCGACCTACACGGGTGCCACTGCATGGGCGCCGACTTCAGGGAGGTCGACCTGGGAAGTTGACCTGCGGAGGGCGTCGACTTGGTGACGCCAACTTGGGGCAGCCGACTTGGGTGGCCGGCTGACGGGACTGCTGGTCAACTTGGTGGTTGGTCGACCAGGCGTGATGTCGACCTTGTGGTAGACCAAACATATTGGTCAACGAAGGAGGAGCCGACGCCGACCTCAACAGAGGGATTCAAGACACCGAGCAGCTGGGCGTCAAATAGCAGGGCGTCAAATAGCAGGGCGTCAACTTGGTGACGCCGACTTCGGGTAGCCGACTTGGGTGGTCGTGTTAGATTATACTACTCTTCTGTATCCTGCATTTATCCTATAAACCCTAGGATAGAGATAGGCACCCAAACTATGTTTGGGTGCACAACTAGGGTTTACCCTAGTTGGGGGTTGGAACCCAACCTTGGTCCAATTATTGGCCTCCAAGGTTGGGTTGGGAGATTATTGGCCCCCCCAATAATGTTGGCCCACCTTTGGCCAACATTATTAGGACCCCCCAATAATTCTCCAACCCAACTTATTGGTGGAGGGCCCATAATGTTGGCTAGGTAACCAACCAACCCCCCCTCCCCTAGCTTCCACTATGTAAACCCTCATGATTCCTAATCAAGTCACTAGTTCAATTCTAACATGCTATCAGAGCTCTTACGGCTAACGCCGCTCAAGATCCTAGGACCCCTCGCGCCACTTAGCGCACCTCTCGCCGGCTCTGCCGCACCTCTCGTGCCACTTAGCGCACCTCTCGCGCCACTTAGTGCACCTCTCGCGCCACCTAGCGCACCTTTCCCCGGCCCTGCCGCGTCTCTCGCGCCACTTAAGCGCACCTCTCCCCGGCTCTGCCTCGCCCCTCGCGCTACTTAGCGCACGTCCGCCGGCTCTGCCGTGCCTCTCACGCCATCTCGGCGCTCCTCTCCTCGCCTCGAACGTCCACCGCGGACAGAGCGAGCGCGGGCGCGGGCGGCCGCCGCGGACACGACGACCGCGGACGGCCGCCGCGGACGCGACGACCGCGGACGGCCGCCGCGGACAGGGCGAGCGCGGGCGCGGGCGGCCGCCGCGGACGCGACGACCGCGGACGGGGCGAGCGCGGGCGCGGGCGGCCGCCGCGGACGCGACGACCGCGGACGGGGCGAGCGCGTGCGCGGGCGGCCGCCGCGGACGCGACGACCGCGGACAGAGCGAGCGCGGGCGCGGGCGGCCGCCGCGGACAGGGCGAGCGCGGGCGCGGGCGGCCGCCGCGGACGCGACGACCGCGGACGGCCGCCGCGGACAGGGCGAGCGCGGGCGCGGGCGGCCGCCGCGGACAGGGCGAGCGCGGGCGCGGGCGGCCGCTGCGGACGCAGGCAGCAGCCGCGAACGCGACCAGGCGGGGGAGTAACCAGCTGCGGACAGCACGCAGCTCATCTCCACCACTGACCGCGCCGTCCCTCCGGACAGTGTCGTCACCTCTAGCACCTCCACCCTCCCCTCCTCCCTCCCTCCCTCACTCGTCATGGCGGACGAACCTTCGTCACTTGAGCTCGTCTCAATAGACAAACTCGAGCTCCTCAACGGCACCACCGCAGTCAATTGGGTGTCGTTGAAGAGAGCCTCTTCACGTACCTTGGCTCCGTTCGAGTGGGAGATTATTACCTCCTTGATGTCGTCCTCGAAACGCCTCACGGCCTCCCTCCCACCCCGCCCCCGCTCCCAGGCTCCTCCCCCCCTGACGCCCCACCACTCCCGACCGAACCCGCCCCTCAAGCCCCCATCCTAGGGGCTTGGGAGGATGACCCAGACAGGTGGGCTCGCACCCTCAACAAGTACAACAAGGAGCGGGACGACTATGTCATCAAGGGCAGAGCATACGCGGCTGCCGTCGCCGCTCACGAAGCTGCTACTGCAAAGCTTGCAGAGTTTCAAGCCACCTCTGAAGCATACTCTACTAACCTTCGTAAGCACCACTCCGATACTGCTGCATGGCGCATTGCTGACCGTCGTGCACTCACTGTCATCTTCTCGTGCATTCCCTCCACTCTTAAACGTGACCTTCGCCCTCCATCCTCCCCCTCTCTCTGGAAGTCTCTCTCCTCTCAATATGATCGTCAGGACTTACGTTCCCTCCTCTCCCTCTTTCGCACCTTCCAAGACATCACCCTTGACTCCTCCCTCAATGCCGCCTCCTTCGCTCGGCGTCTCACGGATACTGCGCAACGCCTCAATGATCGAGGCATCTTGATCTCAGACACCCTTCTTACAGCACGCATCCTTAACAGCCTCCCACCCACCTATGACACTTACCGCATCAACTTCACCTCTCAGCACATTCGTCCTCCTCCTGTGGCTGTTACCATCGACTGGCTCCTTGACAGTGAGGCTGACCTCCCTACGTGACTCCGCAACGGTCAATGCAGTCCATGCTCGCAAAGGAATCACTAACGCCGGCGGAAGCAGCAGCAGTGAACCTGGACGTGGCTCAAACGGAGGTGGTCGAGGAGGCCGTCGTGGAGGCGGACGAGGAGGGCGCATTGGGGAACGTGGAGCAACTACTCCATCCAAAAGTGGGTTTCCCCCGTGCCAGTACGTCATTCGTCAAGGCCCCAACAAAGGTCAGACTTGCAACCAGACCACTCACCCAACTGAAACGTGCTTCAAAGCCCTCACTGATGAATGGCTTGCATGCGGCAACACAGGCCCCCCTCCACGTTGGAACACCATCAACCCTCGCCCCACCCCTCATGACATTTGCACTCTCTCCACCTATGCTCCCTCTCCACCTAACCTCCATAATGTCCTCGCTCAGCACCTCTCCCCTCACGTCCTCCAGCAAGTCCAACACCTTCTCCCCACACCCACCACCACCCCGACGCCCTCCATCCCCACCACTCCGCCTCCACCCACGCCCCTACGTCAAACCCCTCCCTCCCCCTATCCTCCTCTTTATCCTCCTCCTTATGCCGGCTGGCCCTACCCTCCCTACCCCCCATCTATGTATGGCCATGGAACTGCCGCAACTGCTGCAACTGCCGCAGCTGCTGAACAACCCACCTCCTCCTCTCACCCCCCCGGCTTCACACCGTTTCCTTCCACGGGCTTCATAGGTCATGTCACTACTGCTAGCTCTTGCAATGATCCTATGTATGCCAATGCTATTAATGAGTCCTCATTCCAGTACTCCGTGTCCTCCTCCCCTCAGCCCCTTGAGTTCATCCTTGACAGCGGAGCCACACACACGGTCCTTCGTGATGCAGGCACGCTCCTCCCCCTCTCCACCCCCTCCACAATCTATGGGGCTGACTCAAGCTTTGCCATACAAAGCCGTTACACCTCCACACTCCCCTGTCCCCTCTTTCCCTCAGGTACCGTCACAGGTCTCTATATCCCCTCCCTTCATAACAACCTGGTATCCCTTGGTGCCCTCTCAACAGCAGGTGTCACCGCCCTATTCCCTGGTTACTCAGCATATTGTGACTTATTTCACACCTCCTCCGGACGCTTCCTCTGCCGTGTCCATCGGTGCCCCTCCACCCACATGTACACCTTCCGCATCCCCCGTCCCACCCTTCACCAACTCTCCACAGCCCATCCCCCCGCCCCTTCCCCTCCTCTCGAACCTCCCGCCCCCCCTCCACTCCCCCTCCCCCTCCCCCTCCCCCTCCCCCTCCCCCTCCCCCCGCCCCTTCCCCTCCCCCCCCATCTAACTCACCCTCCCCTTGTCACTATCGTGATCTCACACACCCCACCATTCTCCTCCACCATCGCCTAGGCCATCCCAACTTTGCCACCCTTCGCCGATCCATCCTCACTAAACTCCTTGACGGTCTCCCCCTTACCCTTTCCCCCCTCCCTCCTTCCCCCTCCCCTCCTTGCTCAGTTTGTGTTGAAAGCAAGCTGAAGCAACAACCATACACGAGTAACCCCTCCTTTTCCTTCCAACCCCTTGACCTCGTCCACATGGATCTTGGGGGCCCTAACCCTTCCCCCACCAGGCAAGGACATCGCTATCTCCTCATCCTGATGGATGATCACAGTCGTTACTCCTCCGTCACCCTCCTTCGTACGAAGGCGGAGGCCCCGGCTGCAATCACTGCCTGGGCTGAACAAGCACGCAACCACTTCGGTCGCCCTGTTCGCCGCTTCCATTCCGATGGAGGCGGTGAGTTCCTTAACCGCACCTTGTCCTCCTACTGCACCTCTTACGACATCCTCCACACCTACACTCTCCCTCACTCCCCTCAGCAGAATGGTGTGGCGGAAAGCCGCGTTCGGGAGATCACCAAAACTGCTCGGTGCCTCCTCGTTCACGCCTCCTGCCCACCTTCTCTTTGGGGCTATGCCATCCTTCACGCTGCCATCCTCACTAACCTCTACCCCCACCCTTCCCGTCCCACCTCCACCCCCACCGAACTATGGACCTCCAGCAAGCCTGACATATCTCCTCTGCGTGTCTGGGGTTGCAAGGCGTATGTCCTCATACACCCTGCCGACCGCTCACATGCATGTGGAAAGCTTGCGTCCCGCACACTCCCCTGTGTCTACCTTGGACACAACTCCAACTCACCTGACTACCTTTTCCTCCACCCCCCCTCAGGCCGCCTCATCCGTAGTCGGGACGTGGTCTTTGACGAGGCCACCCCGTACTACACCTCCCCCTCCGCCCCTAACCCCCTTCCCCCATTTCCCCGGCCCCTTCTCTGGACTGACACCCTGCCCCTCCTCCCGTCCCCTGCCATGACCCCTCCCCCCGCTCCTCCACCCCTCCCCCCTCCACTCTCCTCCAGCTCCTCCGGCGACATCCTTAACCCACCCCCCCCCCCTCCCCCTCCCACTCCACTACCTCACCTTCCGCTGCAACTCACCTCCCTCCTCCTCCTCCCCCTCCTCCACCTCCCCCGCCCCCTTCCCCTCCATCCCCCCTCCCCTCCTCTAATCCGCCCCCTCCTCCTCCTCCCCCCCCCTCTTCCCCAACGCCCCTCCCCTACCCTTGTCCTTCCCCGCTATCCCCACACCCGCTCCTTGGACCCCATCCTTGGTTCCCCACAGACTTCCCCCCCCTCCCTCCTCGCCCTCACCAGTACTTCCCTCCCCCCCCGCTTCAGCCCCCTCACTCCAGATCCACTGCGCAACCGCTCCACGCTCTTGACAGCACCACCGCGCAGTCGAGCAGCAGCACTTCCATGTCGCAGACTCGACCTTCAGCGCAGCTGTCTTGCATCTTCACCACCCCCTCTTCCTCCTCCTCTCTCTCCTCTCCTCTATGAAGACACCCACGACGAACTCCTCTTCCTCCACCTCCTCGCGCCCTCCATCGCCCCCATCGTTCGCACCATGGCAGGCACTCTAGTTCTTCTCTTCTCGGGCACCCCCACCATCTTCGAGCCCACCACGTACAAGGAGGCAATTGCCTGCCTCGACGCACCGCTCTGGATTGAAGCCATGGTCAAGGAAAGCAACGCCTTCATCTGCAACCGCTCCTTCATCGACGTCCCTCGCCCTGCCAAGACCAATGTCGTCAAGGGCAAATGGCTCTTCCGTGTCAAGCTTCTCCCTGGCGAAGACCCTGTCTACAAAGCTCGCTATGTGGCAAAGGGCTTCACGCAGAAGCACGGCTTTGACTTCTTTGAAACATACTCACCCACTACTACCCCACCGGTCGTTCGGGTGTTCCTCGACTTTGTCTGCAGACGCGGCATGCTGCTACACTCCATGGATGTCACTACCGCCTTCCTCCAAGGCAACCTACACGAACTCATCTTCATGGAACGCCCCAAAGGCTTTCACGCTCCACATGACCCGTCCACCATTTGGAAGCTGCTGCGGCCCGTCTACGGCCTCAAGCAGGCACCCCAGGAGTGGCATGCCAAGCTCTCTTCCACCCTTCGCGAGCTTGGTTTTCGCCCCTCCCAAGCGGCCTCCAGCCTCTTCCTTCGGACGGCTCCGTCACCTTTCTACATTCTCGTCTACGTCGACGACAGGCTACTAGCCGCCGACACAGATGCTGAGATGCAGGAGGTCAAGGACGAACTACAGCGTCGACTCGTCTGCAAAGACCTGGGGGAGGTCCGCAACTACCTTGGCATGGAGATCACCCGCGACCTCAAGGCCAAGACTATCTCCCTCTCTCAGTCCTTCTACATTGAGAAGGTCCTTGAGAGGTTTGGAATGTCAAAAGCCAAGCCCATCACCACCCCGCTTGCAGTTGGGCACCAGCTCGCACCCCCTAACACCCCCACCGACTCCTCAAACCCCTGTGCAAAGCTTGTCGGGGCCCTGATGTACGCCATGGTCTGCACCCGCCCCGACCTTGCCTACCCATTCAGTGTTCTGGCGCAATTCGTTGGTGTCGGCAGGCACACAGAGGAACACATGACGGCGGCCCGGCATGTCCTACGCTACCTTCAGCACACAAAGGATAACACCCTCACCCTTGGTGGAGCAGACCCGCCGGTTCTCACTGGCTTCAGCGACTCGTCCTGGGCGGACTCACAGCCTGACCGTCGCAGCTCACAAGGATATGGCTTCACCCTTGGGAGCGGCCTCATTAGCTGGCGCTCCACCCGCTCCTCCTCCATCGCCCTCTCCTCCTGCGAGGCTGAACTTTACGCGGTCACGATGGCAGCACAGGAAGCACGCTGGCTCAGCTATCTCCTCACAGACCTTGGCTCACCACAGCCCTGTCCCACTCTCTGGTATGACAACGCCAGCACCATCCACCTCACCAAAGAAGCTGTGTTCCATGGTCGCTCCAAGCATATCGAGCTCCGACACTACTTCGTCCGCGATCTTGTCCAGGATGGTCACATTACCGTGCGCAAAATTGACTCGTCCTCCAACCCCGCGGACATATTCACTAAAGCCCTCGACCGCGCTACTCACTCGGCACTCTTGCCCCTCCTGGGCCTTGCTTCCCATGATGACTAATTCAGGGGTTGCTGTCTTATCTCATCCAGGTTTATGGATCTATGCAGGCTAAGGGGTTGTGTTAGATTATACTACTCTTCTGTATCCTGCATTGATCCTATAAACCCTAAGATAGAGATAGGCACCCAAACTATGTTTGGGTGCACAACTAGGGTTTACCCTAGTTGGGGGTTGGAACCCAACCTTGGTCCAATTATTGGCCTCCAAGGTTGGGTTGGGAGATCATTGGCCCCCCCAATAATGTTGGCCCACCTTTGGCCAACATTATTGGGACCCCCCAATAATTCTCCAACCCAACTTATTGGTGGAGGGCCAATAATATTGGCTAGGTAACCAACCAACCCCCCCTCCCCTAGCTTCCACTATGTAAACCCTCATGATTCCTAATCAAGTCAATGGTTCAATTCTAACAGGTCGGCTGACAACTGTGCTGGTCGACGTGGAGCTGGTCGATCAGGAGTGATGTCGACCTGGAGCTAGTCGACCAGGGGTGTGGTCGACCTAGTGAGGTCGACTACTGGTGGCCGTTGACTTAAGAGGTCGACGGGCACATACAGGAGCAGCTGGTCAACGTGGTTGCTTGGTCGACCAGGTTACCTGGGTGACGAGGTTCTGCGGAGGAGTGCGACGGTCGTCCAGGTGATTTTGGCGAGACCGACCTCGGTGGTGGTATCCCGAGGTCGACGTGACTGATCAGATGCAGTCGTCAACGCCAGGTTGATTTGGTGTGTGCGCTGTGCAGGTGACAAGGCTCAGCACGCCAATCATCTGCGAGCACATGCGAAATAGGTGCGCTGCTGTTTTGCGAAAGCAATGCTGGCACGCCATCAACCTACAGTGTTGGCGCGCCGTCGACTTTGCACTGCTGGAGCGCGGCCGACCAAGTCGTGCTAGAACGCGCTCGACCATGCTGTGCTGGCAGTCGACCAACCTGAATGCTATCTCTGATGTAGTCTTGTCTTGCCAACGTGATTGTAACGTTGTTGTCAACTTTCTCTAGTGAAACTATTTCGAAATTGCCCCGTGAACTAGCAAGCAGTGTGTGCACTAGGAAAACGACTAAGGAACAACGAACGCAGAGATCACACGAGCACCCGTGCCTAGCCCGTAGTCTAGCT